TCTGGTTCTGTTAATAATAATCTCTTGCACAGAGGGTGAGAAAACGAAGCTGATGTATCAGCTCCCCCTCCCACGAAGTCTCTAACTTTAGGCTATATTTGTACATCATCTTGTAAATACAAGATGAAATAATGTACACAAAATGCTGGGCTACCCTAACTTCCCATGGTGACTTTTGTAGGTGCCAGACTGATTGGACCCACCCCTTAACTGTAGACTAGGCGGGAGCAGTGACTGCTTTTGCCTTCACACCCTACCCGTATCTTAAAGCGCTGTATCTAGGTGCAGGCATATTCAGTAATTCTGACTGTGCAACTAGTGGTTCTTTCCCCTACACCAATATTGTGACAAAACAAGCATCTTTTTTATACTGATATTTTGAGTCACGATTTGCCCATTGGCTATACTTTCCCCCCATTAAAATCAGCAGAGGTTTATCAGGTACGTCATGGGAGGTGACCTAGGTCAAAGCCAAGTGCTTTGTGAAGACCCAATCATTTTTCATATTTGAGAGCTAAAAAAAAAAAACCAGAAACACCTACTGTAAAGATTGCTATTTATTCAAAATATGCACATTACTTACTATCAGTGTAATGGTTTGAACCTCTACAAACTTCTGTGCTTAGGTGATTAAATGGACAGCTTGTCTTGTGGCAAGGTAAAAATGCACTTAAACCAGTAATCTTATATGTTAATACATGTTTGCTAATATCAGCAAGGATAGAATCAAACTCTCGGTCTGATACCTAATGACAACAATCATTACATTGTCATTGATTTCAAAAGTTACTAAGTTGTTTAACTACCTTGGAGATGAACACACTTTTCTTTCATTCTCTTTTATAATAGAGAAACTTGGAAAGTTATTTCTTGACATGTAAATTACAACTGCTACGCTCTTAAATTGTTCATACCATTTCGGATTGGCCTGTAATACGTATCATACAGCTTCCAGATAAGATGGAGTTGGATTTTTATGAAACACACCATATTAGCCCGGAGTAACGAGCTAATGATTTCAAATGAGCTTAAGGGGAGATGTACTTGTCTGTAATCAGGTAGGCAAAACCTTTTTACTTAATTCAGAACATTATCAGCAAAATGAACTTTCTTAACAGCTGAAAGAAATAAATTTTTAGCAAGAGATCTGTTGTGCTGAGATACCATACAACTCTTTATAAAACCAGGTGAAATGAAAAAACACACCATGAAAACAGAGGACTATTCCTCTTCTCAAAACGCATTAAGAGTATATATATGTCTGACATAACTGGAAGATGCAGGCTGCTGTCCCAAAGAATTACAAATGAGAAACAAATATGAAACGCTGCTTACATGAATAACTCATCTTTACTGAAGAATTTGATAAATACTGAAAAATATTTCATTCACTGTCTCTTCTAGATCTAGAGATATATTTGTGCTTACCTGTCTTGTAGCATCTAGTACCTGCTTCTAGATAGACAAGTGACAATACTGTGCTAGGCATGGGTAGATACGGGCTATTGCTACTTTGTCCATATATTGATAATATATGGACATAAAAGTACAATATATTATATACATTTTGTACACAGAATCACAGAATGGTAGGGGTTGGAAGGGACCTCTGTGGGTCATCTAGTCCAACCCCCCTGCCAAAGCAGGGTCACCTACAGCAGGCTGCACAGGACCTTGTCCAGGTTGGTCTTGAATATCTCCAGAGAAGGAGACTCCACAACCTCCCTGGGCAGCCTGTTCCAGTGCTGCATCACCCTCAGAGGGAAGAAGTTCTTCCTCGTGTTCAGAGGAAGAAGAACTTCTTTGATTTTAGACCAGAAAATGTTTATGAATAATTTATTCATGAATGATCCCACTGACTTCAGAGGGGCTACTTAAATTATATGAAATTAGATGCAGTGGACCTGAACAGCCTAGGTTTCTTTATTAATATTTTATATATTTTATATATTTTTAGGGAATCATAGAGCTCTCTATCAGAAAAATAGCATAGGCTGAAAAAGTCAAACCATTCACCTCACTATGGACAACCTGCACCTTTTTTATGGGGAACGTTGCCTGATGCTACCTGGGAACTGGTGCTGCTGAACGTCATCTCTAGCATTTTGTCATAAATCTGCCATTGTAGCTGCAATGAAACATGGCTTTTAGGTGGGCTGAGTTTTAAAACAAAGCATTTCAAAATTATATGTTTTTTTTTTTGATCTTTCAAAAGTTACAGTAGAAATATCCTTTTTAGATATATTTTGAGGCTTCTATTATTCATATAAGATTGATTATAAAACATCAAGGAACAGAAACCTGCTTTTACTGTACATTTTTGAGAATTACTTAGGACCAGTTGAGTGTACCATAAAGATTCATGCAGATTTTGCATAACAAATTGTAGATAAAACTACAATTTAAATATTATGTACCTCATATTCACGGGAGAAGACTTTTTTTAAATTTCTATTACATGAAACAGGCTAATGTCTGCAGATTAAAATCTGCGACCTCACAGCAGATGTTCTGAGTATCATACCTCTGGAAAAGCTTATAGAAACCAACGTTACAGTAACTTCCTTGTGCTGCTGTAAGGACTGGAGGGACACACAAGATTCACCCTCTCCCCCATCTGTCACAACTCAAAGCACAGACCAGGTAAGCCATGTCATCCCTGTGAATATTTAGAACAGGCTGGCAGAAATTTTTAGAACGTTATTCCCTCCAACCTGTACATTTAGATGAGTCATTTGTTCCTTTCGAATTCACTTTCCTCGGGGCAGCCAACTGCATAAGTATTTCTGGCACCGATGGAAATAATCATCTGCAGTATCGCTTTTTCCCCACATGGGAAGTACATTTACTCTGGAATGGGGAACTGAAACAAGATTGTCACCATTCTGACTAATGGCAACACAGAAGAAATAGGAAACACTTCAAGGGAAATATTTACAAAAATAGCGTACACAGAAGACATAAGCTTTCATTCTATGAGTGAGTACTTGAAAGTAATAATCTATTTCTTACCAACATTCATGAGCAGGAAGGGTGTCAAAATGAGTCACGTTAGGAAACATTTGTTAAGAATTTTTCATTAAGCTGCACTTAAATGCAGGTAATTGTGTATGGCAACTATAATTATGAACTGTGTTTTATATGAAGAATCTGTATCTGGTAACATAGGTGACAATAACTATTAGTGACATTTTTCACAGGAATTAATGGTTGAAACAACTTTGACTCACACTGGAAGTCTCAAATACACAATATTTTCTGCATCCACTGGTTATTTCAGCATCACTCGGTATCCCACTCACCTACTGTACAGCAATGTTGTTGCAGGGCTTTTCAAGTTAGAAACTGGGCGCTTCACGTCTCCCAGTTGAGCACTGTTGGTGAAGATGGCTGATAAAAAGAAATTTTTCACTGAAGGAAGAATAAAAAAAAGACAAAAATCCTGATGCCTTGATTGCTCATGGTAAATAAAAGGATTCCCATTTATAGAATCATAGAATCATAGAAAGTTTTGGGTTGGAAGGGACCCCTACAGGTCATCTAGTCCAACCCCCCCGCAGCGAGCAGGAACACCACTAACTAGATCAGGTTGCTCAGAGCCCTGTCCAACCTGGTCTAGAATGTTTCCAGGGATGGGGCCTCCACTGCCTCTCTGGGCAACCCGTTCCAGTGTTTCACCACCCTCATTGTAAAGAATTTCTTCCTTATATCCAGCCTAAACCTACCCTGGTTTAGTTTAAAACCATTACCCCTCGTCCTGTCACTGCTGTCTCTACTAAAAAGATTGTCCCCATCTTTCCTATAGGCTCCCTTTAAGTACTGAAAGGCTGCAATCTGGTCTCCCCGCAGCCTTCTCTTCTCCAGGCTGAACAAGCCCAACTCTCTCAGCCTGTCCTCATAGGAGAGGTGCTCCAGCCCTCGGATCATTTTTGTAGCCCTCCTTTGGAACCGCTCCAACAGTTCCATGTCCTTCTTGTGCTGAGGGCTCCAGAGCTGAACGCAGTACTCCAGGTGAGGTCTCACAAGAGCAGAGTAGAGGGGCAGAAATATATTTACAGATATAAAATATAGAAAAAGGGCTGACCAAAGCAAAAAGTTACCACAAAGGCCATTTTTCTCCCCTTATTTCATAGATCTCTCAGTAGGAAAAAAAGCCCATATAATGGGCTTCATTTTCAGTGCCATTTATTTTAAGAGTGTGCATTCTGACAGTTGTGTTGCGCCAGTGAAGCTCACCATTATATCAGAAGTGAACCCCTTCCGTGTACATAGCTGTATCATAAGCATTACGCAACACAGCAAATGTTTGTACAAAGAAAAAGTCACTCTGGTTTGTGCTTGCCCGAAACCAGGACCGGATCAAGTAAGATATCCAACAGTGAAGGTGTTCAAATTCCAATGCATCATTTTACATCACACTTACAGTAAAATGCAAATCGGTGTTCGGGTTTTGGCAGTCTGACTCTCTTGTTTCTGAAATCACAGACTTTAATGGAAACATAAAGTCGATACACAAAACAACATCTGAAAACAGCTAAACTGGATTGTAAGTGACAGGAGCAAGCTTTGGTAGAATTGGATTATTTAGAATAACCATCACAACGCTAACGAGTTACTCAGGATTTATGTCCCAACATTTGTAGCAAACAAAAAGCTGTCTTTTAACCATATTAGATTACAAATAAGACAAAAGTAGTGCTGATCATTTACTCTTCCACATAGAACACATGACCCACAGTCAGATCATTCTCCCAAGTATCAAGGCAGTGTTGTGAGCACAACGTTTTTATGTTTCACCTTAACAGACTCTGATGATGTTTTCCTTGTACAGTTCCATTAACAGTAGAGTTTTAGACCAATTTTGCTGCGCAAGTGTTTACTCGTGACTTTCAAGGTAATAGGTTTATTTGGAGCTATGTCATGGCAGTGTCCTGTGCATGGCAGCGTGTCCGATTCGGAGCCGAGAGGAGGACTCCAACTCCCTGAACATGACTGCAAACAAAATCTCTTTACTTGAATTCAATCTAAAAATCCCGTACAGTCTATTTTGAACTCATAAGAGGAATTATGATTGTACAAGATTGTACGTTCTAATGTTAGTAAGTTGTAGGTGATGAAAAGTAAATTGTGTCAGATGAACACTCTTGATTGCCATCAGTCTATACAGCTTAGCTTGTATCAAATTTATCTCCATTGTGCTAAAGGTAAGAGAAGTTAAGACTAATAAAACAAACTCTCTTCTCATTAAGACAAGACAATACATTTACAAGACTTCAAATGTTGAATCTCAAGTCCTCTATTGAGTTACTTCATGTTTGCTTCCAAACCAAGATGCAGGCTTTGTTAGTGCCAACATCATCGTAACACTTCTCGTTTGCTAGAAAGCTCAGTAATTTGGGAGCCTGCTTCCCCCCTCCCTTCCATATATTGTTTGTGCTTCCTGCTTAGGTCAAGCGGTCATGTGCTAACAGCCACTATAAAAGTAGCAGTTCGAGTACATTTTCCCATCCAAGAAAGCTGTAACACAGGACGTTTAGTCTAAAAAACAGCGAGGATGAAGTGCGGGGCCATTTGCACTAAGAAGTTGCCAAATGGAACCATATGCAGAATGGCAATCTAGAAAGAAGTACTGGAACTACAACTCTTACCCAGCTTGATATGTTTTCTGAAAGGGGAAATCACCAATTATAGTCTTCAGCATGAATAACACACTTTAGAAACTACCAGTAAAAGGGTTTGCCAATTTAAAAGTTAGTTGTTGATTGTACAAAGAATGAGCCAATGGACTTTCCATTCTTTGCATCTTTGTTCCCCTCAGGAGTCCATTACCTTTTGCAAAGAAAATTTTAGCTATCAAACTTGTCCATAAATTTTGCCGCTGAGTGTGAAACCATCCAGTTAGCATATACACTATCATTTGCATATCTTGAAAACACAGAGTTAGTACCATCGAATCTTGTGAGTGGAACGGGGCTCTCCTCAGGCCAGTTCGGGTATGACATGCCTAAAAATGAAAACAGATAATTTTTTCTGCACTGAAGAACCATAACTTCATGTGCAGACAGTAAGGCCCTTGGCAAAACTCCCTTCAAGATTTTAAGCCAGTCCACTGGATTTTGTCCCAAATCAATTCATATCAATGGTGTTTTGAGATCCCTGAAGCACAAATTCACATGTAGGCAAAAAATCTGAAAAAAATAAAGTGCTTACTTGATAAAAAATTGTGTGCGCGCACGCACATGTGCGTAATAAAAAGCTAATAATTTTTCTTCTGAAGAGCCTCCAACTTTCCATAATTTTCTTTTTTAACAATCATGTAGCAGGATACTGCTTTGCAAGAGGAAGTTCTTGCTGTACGAGAAGTGCTCCAAGAATTAATAAACCCATTTGGGACAGGATCCAAGGTCCATATCAATGACTGAGAGTATTTCCATTTACTTAAATGGGAGCCTTTCCTTTGGCTTCAGTGAGGTTTTGGGGACACTCTCACACCCTCACCAGGGATCCCCTGCTTTTTAGGCAATCCCAGGAGCACAGCCGAGTAAAGCCCAACAAAGTCCTCAGCACTCTTGTCTTGATTCAGCATTTAAATGTGTATTTCAGGTGTGTAATTATTTGCATTGAGTCTAGTAACTGCTTCTCAGCTTAGGCACAAGTGATCACCAGAATGGAAGCAGAGTGCTTAGCACAATGTTGATCCAGCTGTGCAAGCAGAGAACCACACCAGGGTCAAGATTTTCAAAAACAGAAATCTGATTTTGTTGCTTATTAAGCAGTCGGCATCTGCCATCAACCTCAGTGGCAACTTTTTTCGTTACTGCATGCTTTTTACAATCCGGCCACTAAGTGCCCCAAAGTGAACGTGAGTTGGGGGAACCTACTAAAGAAAATTATAGCTAGGGTATAGATCAAAAATAGACCCAAAGCCATGTATTAATGGCAACTTTTAAGCTAAAAGATCCAACTTTTCAAAAGTCATACTGCTTGAAGGACGAAAAAAGTATCTGTGATGTTAGTAAATATTTAAAAACATGTAGAATATTTAATCAGGAGACAAAATGTAGGAGTTTTGGCAAGAACCATTTTTACTGTCCATCTCACCATCACAATATGAAAGCATATGTTTTTTTTAAAAACACTTGCTACATCATTCAATCAAGGTTTAGTACTGACATTTTCATAATAAACCAAAGGACGTGAAAACAGCCGAGTGTATTTTCAAAGTTCCCATCATTAATTCAGTTTTCAAAGGACTTTACAAGTTGATTTAGTCTGTATATAATACTTATATACAGTATTTCTACCTTCTGTATATAATACTCTGGTTTCATTCTATGATATATTAAATAGACATTTCAGCTTATGAATCTGGAATGCATTAACAGCAGCTGAAATTTAGAAATCCATCTTGAGAAACAAAAAATGTTGCAGCTAGGTCCCATCACTGAGCTGTAGCAAAAACAGTATCTTAACAAAAAAGTAAAAAAAGTCTATTGCTTAAATTAGAGGTGCAGAATCTAAGGTACTTTAAATGTTCCTAGCCTCCCCCAACAGGATAGTTGTATTAGGTACTCATCAGCATTTTATATTTCCCCTGAGAATACTTCCCTGATCTTTTCTTTTTTTTCTTTTACTGTATGATATCTAGTCATTTTACTTATTTTCACATCCTTTTAAAAATGCATATTTTAAACACAGCTGCAAAATGACTAAAGGATGATCCTGATGCAAACTTTGACAATTACCAAAAGAAAACAAACAAACAAACAAACAAACCCAAAAAGAAGCTTCCAAGCAAATTTTGATTGGCTTCATTCAGACAAGAAACACTGTAATGGGGTTACAGAGTCTGAGAACAGTGCAGAAGAAAAATCTTTTTTTTTTTTTTTTTTTTCCTGTAGAATCTAGTAAATGCATGTGAAATTCTACCATAGAGTTTGTTTTCAATCCATGTGGAAGGGAGGGTTCGAGGGAGGGGAGCATTATTACAGTCCACGAGTGGCGTTTCCTCTTCTGAGAGCCCATCGTCATAAAGCAAGGAATCGGAAGGCGTGGAAGCCGCAAGATCTAAGTAGTCCTAAGAAGCGAACAGAGAAGAAGCTGAGTTAACATACGTGGCGGTGTTGCTGGTTGGGCACAAAGGCTAAATGCGCTCCTGGTTTCTTTAAACCAAGTACAGACCCCACTGCATTTGTCTTTTAATAGCGCCTCTGGCACCCGAGTAGGCTCTCCCTTTCTGCAACTATAGCATCTTGGGAAGTATCGGATTTGCCGGAACACGAGACATGCTGGAGACATATTAATACCTCCCTTACTTAATGCTGCACATCAGCAAAATAACTGAGAAGTTAAAGGGCTGTGCTGATTCGTCTGACCTTCAGTTTCTGTTATGTCTAATACATACGTATGCCAGAAATATACATATACACACACATGCTTAAAGGAGAAGTTACTCCGATCTTGTCACCATTTTACAAATGCTACTACATAATCATGTATAAAATTCGCGGTGTAAATATTGCCAAATAAAGCTTTTGCTGCTGCTGTTCTAAAACAAGTATTTAGGTCAGCCATAAGAATTCCTAGGTTTTCATCTATGCTGCCGAATCGCCTTGATGCAAAAAACAAATGTGAAGCATTTTCAGCTAATCGAAAATACACTTTTTCCTTTCAAAATGGCTTTTCCTTTGGAAATGCACTGAAATTAAACTTTAAAAAGGTAAAGTCACCCAATTTTATAAACTGAAAAATCTTCAGAATTTTTCATTCAGAAAGGCAAGAAAAAAAGTGACGGATTTGTTGAGCTCTTGTTTTAGATTGGCTTTGGTTTTATGATGAAAATTTCAGAAAACTTGCCAGCCTCTGTATTAGAAGTCTCTCTCTGGACATGCAGATCATTTGCCTACTGATTCTGAGCAGCTACAAGTTAGTGGTTGACAAGTCAGGGTGATTTAATGTACAGCCTAGACCTTTTGCTTTGCCATTTTTCACTTAGAACTTCTTTTTACACTCACATTCTGAAAAAAATTGTTCCCATTTGTTTATTAGCCCTTTTTGTACCCAATATAAATGCCATCACATTCTCAAATCTGATAATGGTCGCTGTATTTCCTCCGGTTTTCATTTGTAACTGCTCCCCTTCCCATAACTAGTAGATTTAAAAAGAAAAAAAATTATGTGCAAGTAGGTATGTATACATTTTATAAATATGTGTAGCTTGGAATTATTTTTAGACCTCAGCATCCGTTTATTTAAAGAAAGTCTATACGGTATCATAATAGTTTTAAAGCAACTCAGAATGCTGGAATCATACAGCTTATCTGTTGCTATCTTCATGTAACTAGATCAGATTCAAGGAAATACTGCATTCTTCTAGTTCTAGGCTTCCTAAGGTTATTTATTCAGGGATGCAATTTAGGAGTAACTTTTCACAGACATTTTTAGGTTTTTTTACTTAAGGAAGCTAGACAGATTAAGGGTGATAGACAGATTAAGGATAACTCGTCTGCATTTGTGGTTGAAGTCACCAAAGCCACTATATGAAGTAGTACTGCTTTCAAAAAGCTGGATACATTTGGAAGAAACTAGATATTTAAACACTTCAAAATTCGATGAAAAGTAAATTACTTTTCTTTTTAAAAAAAAATAAAATCATTATTTCTGCGTATTCAAACTCAGATGATTACAAAAACTTCTAAAAACTCATGCTTTCCCACACTTACCCTACTCTTCACCATCATTTTCTCTAGTTCCTTGCTGATCTCAGCAAATGTTGGTCTTTTATCAGGTTCTTGCTTCCAACAGCGCAGCATCAGGTTGTACCTGTGACCCACCGCAAGGTGAAAAAAATAAAATTGTTAGAAGTGGGTCAAGCTTCTGCTCAAACAATTTATAGTACTGAAGTTGAACTGTGGCGTGAAAGCCACCCACAAGTACATCAATCTTTTTGTCATGTGTTCCGTTAAACATGCCTGTGAATCAACAACTGACATTCACAAGAACGGGCTTCTATTTTCATGAGTCTTTATGAGTTTAAATGATGATGCACTTGGCTGTCCTTGAAGGACTGCAGTCTTAGGTTTCTTTCATTATTTTCACTTTATCAAAGGACCACCTCGTGTGTAGGCAGCATGCCAGATTTCTAATTGATTTTGTTTGCATATGACTGAAGAAATTGGTATATCATCACTGATGTGCATCTCTCAACCTGGAAAACTCTGCTGTTACATCAGAAAGTTGAATTTTGTTCTTCATTTGTTTCAATTCTGAAAAGTTTCTGTAAACCTTTCTTCAAAGTGAAGCCTATCCTAAGACTATGTGCACAAACTAACATTCTTTTGATTAATTGTGTTATGGTTATTTTGATTATATCTATCCTTATTGTCTTAACTGCCTTCAATAGCAGACAGCGTGGAATCAAAAGGGAGCGGAATTAAAGTGTTACAGTTGAGTGACTATCAGGCAAACATTGGACAAGTTCTAGGTGTGTAACTCTCCAACCTGTGCCGTTCAGGTTATTTTTCTAGCTCAAGTGTTTTCAGGACTAAGTGATCTCGCCACAAAAGTGCTCTAATTGCAGAAATAGTTGGCGGCAAGAACTACAGCAAGCTGTTGAAAAGCAGTGTGTTTTTTGCCCTCGTCCATGATGCCTCTTTTACTTGACTGGATAAAGCAGAGAAAACAATTTAATGGTCCTTAAAGTGGGCTCTCAAAGGCTGTCACAAAAATTTCTGAGTAAAACGGGAAAAATCTAAACCAGCCAGAAAACCATGATGTGGCTTGAATAAAACAGAATCACAGAATCACAGAATGTTAGGGGTTGGAAGGGTTCTCTGTGGATCATCTAGTCCAGACATGGTCAGCTTGCCTAACCTAATAATTATCAATGATATAACATGTTTGAGGAATGACATCTTATTCACTGTTGAGAGGAAACAAACAAAACCAATTAAAGTATTTGCTAGAGGATTTTTGCCAGTGACACCTTTAAAATTCTTCCCTGCCCTTACTTCAGAAACACTTAATGTTTTTCTCTATATATGGTATTAAAAAAAATTCATTTATACTGTATTTTCTTAGCCCAGATGTGGCCAAAGCATCCTTCACATTGAAAATCAGTTACAAGAGATATCATAGTGATTATAGCCTGACAACTTTCTAAAAAAACCTGACCGTGACCAGATTTCCAGGTTGAACATAAAATCCTGCCTCATCTCCAAATGCCATGGAAGAACCACAGAGAGAAGGTATTTCACATTAAGAGTGTTTTAATAAATCAGCCAATAAAATATCGACTGTCTCCAAATAGAAAAGAAATTGCCATAGGCTTATCAAGCCACAGAAAATTCGTGTCTTCTAGAGTACAGATTTCTGGGTCAAGGTATCCTTTCTCCTATGTAATGCCAGGACAAATAATAGACAATGACTGTGGATGGAACATCTACCTTATCTGCAGAAAAATACTGAAACATTTTCTTGACTATTTCAGCTAGCACTGCGTTTTATGAAATTGTCCTCCTCACCCCACCCTCAAAAATTTTGAGTATTCAAGCTCTTTTAATTGTTTGGCAAGTGTGTTATTTGATATCCTACAAATATTTTGGATGTAGCTGCAAGCATTCAGTTGGTAATTCTTTTCCTGCACTTTACTGTTCACTAATTTCACTACATTCTTTTGGGCACTGCATATTTTGATTATACCTCTGAGATATACAGAATAGTAATTATATGGTATTTATTTAAACCCTTTTTTAATGTATTTATTCGTGAGATGTTTTGTGAATCTAATCAGATCAAGAGCTACTTACATTTCTTCACTGCAGTTTTCTGGTCTCTCCATTCTATAGCCTGTTTTTAGGAGGTTAAAGAGTCTTTCAGGAGCAATACCTGGGTAGGGATTGCCTCCCAAAGTTACAATCTCCCATAGCAGAACTCCAAATGACCATCTGAAAAAGAGAAAATGAGCTTATATTTAGAATGGTAGATTTCAAGAGTTTAGTGTGGCTTTCAGCCAACAAATCTCCTTCTAGTGGTCTGAGAATCCAACCAAAATCAAGACATTGATGAGCCAGCCACAGGGGCCGTACAGATGCATACAGGGCCATCCTTCTTCCCAAGTACTGTCCATTACAAAGGTTAGCAACCAAGACAGTAGAGATAAGGGATATCCCTCTTTTATCCTGTGACAGAAGCTAACTGTATCGCTTGTATCCTGGGAAGACCCATCTCCTCTAGACAGCAGAAAGTCCTTCCCATGGTGGCCCAGCCCAAAGGCTTGTTCCTCTTCTGTGCAGGGCTCCTGGAGGTGCCTCTCTTTTTCCAATTAGCCCTTATAGTCCTAATTCAGAAACAACTGTCTACATTTACACAGGCTGACTTCACCAGTTACCAAAGGACTGATTTGCTGTCTTGGCCATGAAGTTGTATTTCTTTATATGCATAGTGTGTTTATTTCAATCATAAGCAACACCTTTGATTTCAGCGGGTCTGTTGGGTTCTTTCAGTGATTCAGAACTCAATTGTCTTCTTAGAGTTGATGAAAGAAGAGGAAAGAGTTTATTCTGGAAATACAAAATGCCTAAAATATAGTTTAACATAGAACAGAAGACAGAATAAACTCTTTTCTGAAATGAACAGAAGAAATTGTGACTTTTTAAAATACTTTGTTGATGAGCTCAAACAAAAAGACTGTGCTCAGTGGGTCGGAAATATTTAGGTAGATTAAGTTAGTCCATTTTTGGAGGGCAGGCCAGGAGGAGAGAGGCAAAAATGTTTTTCTTTCCTTAGTGGAAGGCTTTTTTGAGACACAAAGAAGCTACAAATTACTTTGAATCTGCTCAAATGACAGAACTGCCGAAATTTGGATGTTCAAAATGAAGGAAGCCAGCCAACACTGTTTCACTCAAAGGGGATACTCAATGGGATGTATCTGGAAGCAAAATTACATACAATTTATCAGAAATGTTAGCTTTTGTGCTTTCATCATTGGGTATTCCTGCAAAAACTCCACTTTTAAGAAGATTTTTAGGAAGTGTTACACACCTGATGCCAAACCAAACAGCAGTGTCTAATTCCCTTTGAAATTCCATCTCAGAATGTTAGCCACAAACCTCACCTCCTGTCTGACAACATTCCACCTGTGCTTCTCACATTTTAAAGACCAATGGTAACCCCAAAAGTACAGCAATAAAACTTCCAAAATGGACAGAGAAGCCCAAGTGATTCTCACACAGTCCTAAATGATATGCTGCAGTTTTTCACCCTGAATTAATCTCCATTAAATTAATTTTTAATCACTGTACATTCTTGAAAGCTAATGAATATTTATAGCATTTTCATACACTTCATTAATATACCTCCTCATACCTTCTTTGAAGCCAATTATGCTCTGCCATCACATTATAATTCTGTCCGTGATTAATTCAAATAAACTTTGTAGCATGGCAGGTTTTGTTTTTAAAATCCACCTCTTCTGCTTAAGAGGAATTTCACAAAATACAGGAGGAGTGAGTAATTTCTTAATTAAAGTTGTTTAGTAAATGGGCGTAATATCATAGAATGCTGTAGAATGCTGCAATGCTTTCAAATCATGATACAAATTAAGTACTATGGGAGGAGAAAAATTTCCTATTGTGCTATGTTTATTGCTGAATAAAAATGTGATCAGAAAAAGCCAGGAAAGAAAAATATAATGTGAAGAGGAAGAGAGTAGGCTAGCTTTCCACTGACGTCATCGACCTCTGAAGCAAAAAGGGATTTGCTAACTGCTGGCAAGTGGTACTGCTATTAAGCGCTGCTAACCACTAACTATATAGAAAGGCTTTAGAAGAAAGAGGCTGGAAAATAGAAACACAAGAGTATGAGGAAAGAAGAGCATACTGGAATGATTGTTGAATATATTAATGTATATGTTCACCTAAAATGCAATTGCATCAGCACAAACAACAAAGAATATTCATAAAATAATATTTTCACAGAGAGTAATTATCTGAAATAACAATCAGTGCTGCAGTTTGCTGCTGTTGGAATGACATTTGCGGAACCTAGCACTGGAGAGGATTTGCTTTGCGACTCTGTGTGTGCGTCTCAGTACTGCTCTGTAGGGACCTGGCTAGATTGGAAGCTGCTGTGGAACGCTCTTTGATTACTTCACATATAATGACATGAATAGTGAAGGTGACCTCACCAGCAAGGCAAAGGCACCGTGCGAGCGTGGCAGATATTTAGACCTTTTATACCCTTGTGTTGAAGCAGGCCTGGAAAGCACAATGCGGTGCCCTGTTAAGACCACCTGAAGCACGTCCAAGAAAGCTGGTAGGTCAGCATGGCTTTACATGGAGATACTAATCCAGATCTGGGAAGCAATAAAGCTACACAGCACCAGCGTGCTGCCCGGGGCTCTAAGCTAGCTTGTTTGATGCCAGCTGGGCTATCTCTGCGTGGTGTTGTATCACACGTACAAGGGACAGGCTCCTGGGCTTAATAGCAGCCCATCAGGAAACCAACCAGGGAGGAATGGTATTGGATCCAGAAGATCAATCAACAATCAAAGAAGAGGCAGTTCCATGACAACACAATCTGTTCTGGCCCCAAACCATAGTGACAAACCTGTTTTGCAGAAAATGAAGACATTAAAAATACACCAGGAGGTTTTAAAAAGAATTTTAACGATTCTCTGGGAAAAGTCAATGCAGAGGAGCAGGTCAGCACAACGGATGCTCAGACTAGGATAAAAAGAGAGCCAGAAAAACCCGTCAGCAGACCTAAGTAAAAGTGACATTCTCCCGAGAATTACAGCAATCTTTTTTCTTTTCTTTCTCCAAGTAAAACAAAGTAAATGAAAGTATTTTGGAAATTCATTTTGTAAGGAATTTCCAAGGCATGCAAAATGCTTTATTTCACTAAAACTGCTCTGACCTGCAAAGAGATATGTAAAAAGGGAACGCAAATAATTTCAGAAGTACAAATCAAAAGGTTCCTATTTGCACATACTGCTATTATCAAAGTGTTTTCCCCCAAAGTGAAATATCATTGGGATTGGTATTTTTTGCTCCATTTGAGTTTAATGAAAACGTTACTTTAGTCAGATTCTCTTTCAAGGGAAACTTGGAAGGTATCAAGTGCTACCCAAAATGCTATCTAGCAGAAAATCAGGCATCAGTACTGCTGCTTTTGCAGTCCCTTAGAGGTTCTTCTCCTAAATAAACAATATTTAGTTTTACATTGTGTACCTGGTGACTAGTCACAAGCCTCGTTCATCCCAGAGAGAAAGAAATTAAAGTATCTGATCCCGAGTTAAACGTATACAAATGCTGCTCTGCCTGGCTCCTTGCTTATCAGGCCTGAAAACAGCTACACTGTGGTTGCTTTGCTACCTCATCATCACAGGCGGAGATAGGAGCTCATCCATCTTTGGGATCTCTGTTTCCCTAATCATGCAAATGAACTTGCATGCTGGCACTGGAACCAGACTGTCGCCCTCAGGTCTGAGTTGGCTGTCATTAAAATTAATTGGATTTTTGTCATTGATTTCAATAGGAGTGAGGCCAGCTTAAATTCTTCTTTGCTTCTTCTCACCCCATCCCTCATCTACCAGCTACTGTTACAGGCAAGTGATGAGCAGGAACTGGGAAGTTTGGGTGTGACCATTATCTTTAGCAAAGACTACTATTCTGTGTCTGTATATTCAAAGGCAACTATGTCACATGGACAGATCCAACCCTTCTTGATTTCAACAGGAATTATGTACTTAAATACCTCTGATAATCTTTTCTTCCGATTTAATTGAACAGCAAAAATCTTCTGTATCATTGCCATATGGTATCGTATGCCTGATGGTGCCATCCAGGCTGTGTTCTTCATGTCTCTTTGTCAGAGTAACAGCTTTGGCTACCATGTACCTTGTGCTTCCTCCCTCACCTCCCTAAACAAGTACATAAACCGTAAAGAATGCAAGAATTTACACTTACACATCACTTTGTGTTGTATAGATATGATCAAACAGGGACTCTATGGCCATCCATTTAACAGGTATCCGACCCTAGGAGGAAAAAAAGGCAACAATGCAATTACTGGTCAAAAAACTAAGTTTCTATGTGGAAAACCAAGGTATTTGTATTAAAAAATGTAACAGATACTCTATCCATAATCTTTTAATGGACTGAACAATTTGGCATTTCATAAGAAAATCAGCGAAGAGAACAATTTTAAGAGTTTTTAAAATCACTCATTCATTTCATTCCACACACTTCAGTAATCTAATTACGTACAATAAGATGGTGTGGGTTTTTTCCAGATGGTCACTAGCTGAAGTCAGATAAACTCAGCTCTCCTCTTAACAAACAGCTTCATCCAAAGAGTTATAGTCTTCAAAGATGAATGTCTGTCTTCCCATTGCTTTTGGGAAATGTGCAAATGCAAAAATGATGGGGAATGATGATTAAAGAGGAAGAGCTATCTCATTTATATCAGGGATGATGTGTAAATTCAGGCACCTAGATGCTTAGATACCTTTGGTTTCAGAACTGTACCTGGACAGTCACATTTGGTTACAGGTTGCTCAACTGAATCTACAAGCTGCTACTTTCCACTGGCAGAAATTAACTGATAAAAATCGGAGAAATCTGCCCCAGATATTCATGAAAATCTAGCTTTGCAAAATTTCCAAGATGTTTCATAACCTTCACAATATCACTAGCATTCATATGCCTTCTTGTTCTCATGAAATGTATATACAGCAGCTTTTTCAGTAGGGTTTGAAACGTCCTGCTTCCTTCCTCTCAATTTTTTCTTTTCCCTGTTTCCCTCTGCAGACAGATGCTTGTTAGGCTCTGAAGAATACTACAGCAATGAGTGTCTCCAAAGTAAAGAGAAAATATCCACTCAGTCCATCAGCACTCCGCCAGATAAAATGAAACTCCCTTTATGTAAATGCATGATCCTTAAAAACAGAGCAACTGGCATAGATCAGTGTAAAACACACACACCAGAAGATAGCTAAATGAACTTGGCAAAGCCCTTTTACATATGATCACGTCTTCCAAAAGGTTTTTTTTTCCTTGCAACTTATTTTGACTTACGAAACATTCACACAAACTGGCCTGAAAAAAAAAGGAAAGCTAAACTGAAAATTTACAGTATTTATGGAAATCTTTTCATAAAAATCTGAAATTTTCACATGCACAAAATTCTGTTGGCAACTCATTCATATTAAGTCATAGAGGGAACTAAACCAGCACTACTTGTCTTAGAAAGAGTCACAGAAAGTAGTTTTTAGGAATGTCACTGTCGGGTCAGGGTTTGGTTTGTAAAAGTTCTGCTGATGCCCGCGACAGGTGGATGCAAACAGGCAGAAAGCAGGAAT